ATTGTTTGAGCCGTTCGTCTGATGAATGGTCTCGAGGGAAGTGTGAGATTCTTCGCACGCGTTTGTAATAGTGGTGTCCGACTCTTCCTCTTGAATGACGGGAATACCGTTTTCGGAGTCGTCGTCGTCTTCAGTGGCGCCACTAATTGTGTCGCTATTATTCACTTTCATATCGTTTTGGAGCATAAAATCGGATTCAATTGAAACAAACGGAATGTTTTGATTAAAGGCATCGAAAGGCGATAACGACGACAATATATTGGGTAAAAGGCCTAACGATGCGGTACTGCTCTCGTCCACAGACATCTCCATCAGATTGAGATCAGAGTTAAGCTTATCTTTGGTTAAATTCGATGAACGGGTCCTCGAATTCGCGAATTCTTCGTCCAATTGTTCAAAACTAAACGCCTTTTGAGAATCGCATCCATTGGACAATACATTCACTTTCGATAGATATTCGCTGTTTTCGTATTGAATTTCATTAAGACTTTGAGATTTGCATAAAGAAGTCGTCGTTTTAATGCAATTCGTGCCAACATTTGTCTCGCAATTGTTTCCATCAAATGAATCCATTCTTCTATTCATACTTTTATTATCTATTTTTATAAATATATAAATAAATATTAGAAATCATAAGAAAATATTTATATTACATAACGATAAGTAAAGTCAACACAAAAATTGTAAACAAAAATATAAAATCTAACAACAGATTAGATCTAACGATGAGATCAACTGAAAAGAGTAAACAATATAAATGTCTTACGATTATTGGGAACAGTGTTTGAGTGGTTGTGGTCTTCATTGCAGACAATATGTCTTTTATGAAACAATTCGTTATTATTATTGATATTATGGTTAAGAGATGTGTTGTTATTGTTGTGGATGTGTTTGTGAGGGCGAGGAATGGCCGACGAGTCGCCACCACTTCTTCGCGAATCGCTTCCGACGGCCGCCGCGGACGACGACGAAGAGCTCATCCGCGGTAGACGTGAACCGATCCGTTGTTTCGGACACTTGTTATCCATTAGTTGTGATAATAAATAAATAAATTCACAATTAATTCAAAATCCAATTCGCAATCATTTGCGAGAATTAAAGGCAAAACGGAAGCGAAAAATGAAGAAAAAGAAAACAACAATAATTTGTAGACATTTTGTGCGATATATTAGTCGTGAAAATGGGTTTTCAATTGAGTCGTGAATTAAACAAAACGTATAAATAATTATTTCGATACAAAACACAATCGCTTTTTAGTGTCAAAAAAGCGATGCATTAATCGATTAATGGGTTAATTGTTTTCACTGTTAACGTCAATAGTATTACACAAATCTATAAACACTGTAAATATGGAGGGATTTTGCGGGAAATCAATGCAAACCAGTAGTCATTGGCCTAACACTAGGCCTTAGATGCGGTACTTTTTACCACTTAAACAATGCACTGTTTGTTATGCGCCAAACAATAGCCACAAACGGTACCGATTCGTCGGCCGCACAACACTCGCTACTCATTTCACTCTAACTCTCGCATCAATAGATTTAAATTAGAGTCCAATACGCAAACACTGTTACGGCGTCTGAGGGGTGAGTGAGTGGCCGATGCGGGCGTTCACAGTGTGTTTGGCTGTCGAAAAGAAAATGTCAATTTATATTCAACAATAAATTATTGTTATAGAGTTTGCGATCGCTTTTCGACTAATTATTGGGTCAAACGTTATGTTGAATACATTACAGCTTTTATAACAATAGCAGTAGTTATTCACACAATTGTTAGCAAAACTTAATGATTATTAAAAACCCTTAAGTTTTATATCATATAATCATATGATTTATTAGCGTTTGATATGAAAAGCGTATAAAACGCTTAAACAGTATACACGATGTGATACACGGTATCAGTTATAATAAGCTTAAAAGTCATAAAACAAAGTTATCATTGATTTTGTTTGGGATTTATGAGGATTTGAAGTGAAATGATGTGATTAAAAGTCAGACACGATATGACTGTCAGGATATGATCGCTGAATGTATAATAAATTCAATCCAATGTGACATTCAATGCATTTTATAAAACAAACAAAACTTATTTATTTATGGTTCACATGATAGGAAAGCATTGGGAAAACTTTGTTAAAGCAGTCAATACTATAATAAGCACTTTTAATAAGAAAAACAGGAAATCTTCCGCTTCTTTTCGTACGACAAATAAACACCAAAACTAATGGACAATATTTGTATTGCTGTCAAGTGTTGGCATAAAATAGGTTTTTGTTAAAATTTCAAATAAATGTCATAACACCGAGTGATGGACAACACTGTTATATAATAAACGGTAGTTTTAGATGAAATGTATTAGTGATGGCCTTAAACTGTGAGATGAAGAGGGGATCTAATAATACAGTCGTCAATATAATAATAACCCGAAGCGAAGCCTAACTTTTTCCCAACTTTTTAGCGTTAGTTTTTTGAGTACAACTAATTTCTAGTTTTCTTTTACTCCCAAAAAACACATAATACCTGTTATATTGCGAACACATTTAATATACAATTTATGTTTTTTATTACTTATCAAAACATGATAAATAATAAAAAACTTGGTATAAACTAACGCTAAACTAATGTCTGCCTTTAGATTATGGCTTAGATTTTCACGATCTCTCAACTCATTTGAATTTTGACATCATTTTCGCTTCCAAAACAACTTCACAAAGAGTTTGGTTTCTAATCCAATAATTGCCGTAAAAATATCATTACATTATCTATTATTTTAACAGAAAGTTATCATCAGAAGCGAAAAGTTTCGCAAAAAAGTTAATTATTTGCTCTTTTTTTCTAATCAAAACCAAAATCTATTTATTGAATACATATATTAGACAAGACATGAACTTCTTATTACCTGAGATTTGTTTTTAGTTTTGTTTCAATCCTTCAATACGTCTGTCAGCGCACAAGTTATGGGACAAGAGTTCAAATAACTTTCGGATTTATAATTAGTGTTTTTCTCATTAAATACAATACAAAACTGTTTTGTTTGGACTCTTTAGGCAGTAATTGAAATT